CTTGTGGGAACCAAGGTCAAATTGCTCAAGTGTTTGGTAGGCTAGAATTACTGTTAGAGAGCCCGCCAAAGATGTTAATTGGAAAATGTGATTTATTACATATTTAGAGGGTGGGGACTAACTTTAACTTTGTAACCTTTGGGGGGGGGGACTTCCAGTCTTGGTTTCACCTATGTTTGTGCTGATATTATGTAGCCATTAAAATTGTTCTTTGAGGAAAACAAATGCCTCAGAGTTCGTATTTCTTCTGGTCTCATCTATCGGAACCATGACACAAACATTTTAATTCAGGACAACTGAACAAGAGTTATACAATGCGCACAGGCTATTCCAATTATTTTCTGTTTTCTCTCCAGTATGTACTAATAATCATTTCCTATTCTGCTTAGCTTTTTTTAAAATCAGAGAGATTAGCTATGGCCTCATATAATGGAAGTGGAAAGATTATTTTGATAATGAAATCATTCAAAGTCAACTGACAAAATTAAGCATAGAAACCAAAACAAAAATCACAGTTAATAAAAGCCAATGGCAATAAAACAAACCATACATTCTAGTTAGTAAAATTGAGAAACCATCACAGGCATCTTAAACATAAGAGAAAATACCACTTTTTATGATGGTGTGTTTTAGAAATGAAGGGCAAGAACTTTGCTGCCCCCATTTGCAAAGTTTATCCTGCCTCTTTGCTTCTGTTTCCAGTCATTGCCAACTACCTACTTCCCTCCAAAGTAATGAGTAAGAAAGCTTAATATATTTCACAAACACTGATACTTCTCTTGGCCAAACAGTCAAACTAAGGGAGAAGAGGTGGCCCATAGACTTGTCTCACTCATAAACTGGAGATGAGACGAAAGCAATGTCATGAGTATATGACAAATAAAACAATTGTGTCAGGACATGTTTGTTCTGTTAGTTACCCAGTATTAAGATTTCCCTAATCCTATTGCTTCCAGACCCTACAACTTTCATAATTCCCACCAGAGCTCTTTGCTTGTGCGGCTGCTTATGTCAATCTTTCTTTTCCATCACTATAGATTTATCCCATAGAGATTTAAAGACAAGTTTACCCATCACATGCTGCAGGTAACTAGTAGAATGTAAACCTTTTTCATTTGGTTGAACAGTCTCCTTTATCCTTCCATACTCCATGACAGACAGGTCTACAACAGTTAACAATGGAAAGGATTCCATAATAAGCAAGTCTTCCATATCACAAGTGATGGCTGATAGGCAATACCGCTTTTTTCTTCTTTGGAGCCTTATCTATCTTTTGACATTCCCATGTTTCCTTGTTCCTAGTTAGATAGAGAAACTTCTTATTTTAGAAATATGATAAATTAATAAGATCTGGCTTCAGAGGGTCTCAGGGTAAGAATCTGAAGAAGCAAAAGAAATCTATGAAATTTCTTTGTGATTGAAACAGGTGTTATTGTCTCTTAAAATAAAAACCAATCATCTCTTCATTCCACATCTCCCTCCAGTTTCTATATACTCATCTCTAAAACCTCATGTCTCCTTACTAAATAGCAAGTCCAGCAAGAGTTATCAGAAATAACAACACAATATTAGAAATTGCATCTATGACACTCAATTTGAATCCTTCCCTTTCCCTTAAACAAATTCCAGCCCCCCCACCCATTTCTCTTTTCAAATAATCAAAATACCCACTCAAAAAACAAATATTGCCAGAAATAATCATTGTCATCTAGTCCTTATCAAGAAGCCATTAAACAACTCCCACAGCAACAATCCATTATTTTAATCTTGGCCAAATAAATCAATTTTGCAAAGAAGAGATAGTTTTTAAAGTTCTTTTCCATCAGTATAGATTTATCTTAATGTTGATTATACTCGCTGGAGATGAAGGGGGAGGTTTCTTTTTCTATTCTTTATTTTTATTTTTTACCCTTTATTTGCACTTTCTTTTTTTAATGTATTCTGTAATTGTATAAGTTTTACTTGTTTATTATAATCTTTAATAAAATTATTGGAAAAAAGAAATTGAATTGGGGGTTATCAAACAAATAAATCTCCACAGAGTATGGATTGTAATAGTATCTATTATTTTTTATTGTAAAGCAAGTGTAGGTACAATAAAGTTTTGAAAGATACATCCTTCAAAAAAATAATTTTAACTAGAGATAGGTGATATTTTTTTAAAAAAAAGCTTCTATTTAGGCATAGTTACATGTTTTTCAAATGCACATATAAAGAACAACTACATATAACAACAAAACCAGATTTTTCAGTACTATAACATCTTTTTTTGAGTTTACAGGAAATTTGATGAAACAGGATAATCCTTAAACCATTTAACCCAATGATGCCCATAACAAAGCATAGATAAAATGTACTAATGCACCAAATCTAGCATAATTCATAATCTAGCAGTTCTATTAGACAGTGAAACATGCAATTCCAGCATTGCTCAAAACTATTTTGTAAAACCAGTTTCATAGTGAGAAATAAATACTACAATATTTGGTTAGTCTCGTTTGACTCCTCCTATCCATAGGAGCCAAACACTTAAGGAAACCTCCATTTACAGTTTGTTTAGAGTTGCATGTTAACTAGGATCTTCTACTTGTTCCTTTCTTAACAAGCCAAAATCATAAGACAGAGTTTATTGTTATTGTATGCCAACTGGATGTGTGCCATTCCAGTACATTTTTAAATTTCTCTTTCCTGACAGTAACAGGAGAATTAATTTCCTATGGAAAAAAGTTCACATTTGTTCTGAGCATATTTCCTCTGTGCTTCTTTTGTTTCTATCTATTCAACTGTTGCTGTGGTGATACTTTTTTTTTTTTGCTACTAATATTATTTCAACTTATTTTTTTCTAAGTCACATGGAAAAGTCTCCAATATTGCTGAGAAAAAAAACAGAAGGGAAAACTACTTAGTGCAAAGTGGAGTAATCGCTGAATTCTGTTAGAATGTAGCAATGATTGATGAAAGAATGTCAAATTAATTTAAAATATATTGGTTGAGTCTGTGAAGATCATAGCCAAGTCCCATGCTTAGCTTAAATCAGAATTCCTCCACTTGAGTGCCCTGCAGATGTGTACATCAGTTCTCCAAATTCTGCATGGTCATTATTGAAAAGTCCAGAAGTGAAAGTCTTATTCTCAAATTTTAGATGGCAGGTTGAAACATCTTGCTTTAATATTTCCTTCTTATGCATCTCATATGTTTCTAAAAGCTCCTTAAGGGAAGGCAAGGATTCAAATACAAGAAATGGACAAATATAACAACATAGCAGAATAACAGAATAACACAGTTGGAAGACACCTGGGAGGTCTTCTAGTCAAATCCCTGCTCAACTAGGAGACCCCATACCATTTCAGACAGGTGGCTGTCCAGTCTATTTTTAAAAGCCTCGGTGATGGAGCACCCCCAGCTTCTGGAGGCAAGCCGTTCCAATGGTTAATTGTTCTCAATTTTAGGAAGTTTCTCCTTATTCTAGGTTGCTTCTCTCCTTGATTAGTTCCAGCCATTGCTTCTTGTCCTGCCTAATGGTACTTTGGAAAATAGGTTGACCCTTTCATTTTTGTGGCAGCCCCCAAATATTATAACATTGCTATCATATCACCCCCGTCTTTTTTTGTCACTAGACAGACCAAATTCCTACAACTGTTCTTTGTATGTTTTAGCCTTCAGTCCCCCAATCATCTTTGTTGCTCTTCTCTGCACTCTTTGCAGAGTCTCAACATCTTTTTTATATTGCGGTAAGTTGAAACTCAAGTACTTTGGCCACCTAATCAGAAGGAAGGACTCACTGGAGAGCAGCCTAATGCTGGGAAAGATTGAGGGCAATAGAAGAATGGGACTACAGAGAATGAGGTGGCTGGATGGAGTCACTGAAGCAATAGACGTGAGCTTAAATGGATTCCAGAAGTTGATAGAGGACAGGAAGGCTAGAGGAACGTTGTCCAAGGGGTCACGATGGGTCGGACATGACTTTGCAATTAACAATAACAAAAACCAAAACTAGATGCTGGATTCCAAGTGTGGCCTTACCAAGGCCACACTGGGAATACAGGTTTGGAATAGCAGGTTTGGCTTGTCTACCAAGCAGAACTTGGAAAAAATGACTGAGAAGGCTAAATGGATTACAGAATCTGTGCCTCCAGTTCAACATCTAGCTCACTTCCCATTCCTGCTGTTGATGAGTTTTAGTGAAGGGCTGTCCTCTTTGGAATCTGATGGTTTCTTCAATGGGAGGACAAAAAGTTTAATTTTGTGACAAATTCTTCTTTTTGACTGCCATAGACTCACAGCTCTCCTCCTACAGTTTAGAATAGAATACAGCTGAAGAGACCTTAGAGGTCTTCTAGTCCAGCCCCCTGCTCGAGCAGGAGAACCTACACGTATTACACAATGGGTTGGTAAGAACCTCAATTACATCCAAGCAATTTATTGGAGGTTTTGTAGTTATTTTGAAAATATATGCATTGATTTCTATAACATGTTGGAAGTTTTTTTCCTTTGGAAAAGAAACCAAATATATCTGTCCCCCAGCAGATTTTCAGGAAGTCAAGCAGCATGTTGAGCTAGGTGAGTTCACTCAATCTCTTTTGCGAACTCATTTGTGTTCTTGGCTGATTTCCTGTTACTCAGCATAATTAAGTTAGCTGAGATCCTAATACTGCTAGAAAGAAGAAATCTGTTCGGGTATTTCCAGATACTGGATACAGACAGATACTGACAAATACTGTAGCTCCCTTTGCTATCAGTCAAAGTGCGCTGTGTAATGATGACCTCTCTTTTGCTTTTTAATTGTTATTTTACAATAAGGAAAAAGATAGAAAGAAAACAACAGAAACTATGTTACGGAAATAAAATCCTTAACTGGAGGCATTAACACACATATAGTTTTATAAACTTTGATCCCATCTCCCATTGTCCTGGCGAGAGGAAAGAACATAAAACTCTTGCTAGTCTTATGGCAATAATGAAGCTTGATTTTATTTGAAGGTAAAAGGAAGTCTACTCACTTTCCCCTTGGGAGATCAAGATGAAATTATTTAGCTTTCTGCTTGGTAAGGCTTTTACGGAAGGACTAATGAAGGCTCTCAACTACTATACTCTCTGTTGCTCAATTCACAAAGGCCTGTGGCAGTACTCAAGTCTCTGCAAGAAGTCTTGAGATTTGAATGAATAACAAAACCATTCTGGAAGGGCAGATGATATCACAGACCTTCTTAACCAATCATTGTCCCACTTCTGAAATGCTGTATTCTTAGTGGAAACCTATCGATATACACAGTTCCTGGAATTCTATATATGGAGATTGTAGATAAATGTTCTCCAAGCTAAAATACATTTCTGGGAAGGATTTAGGTTATTAATACTCAGTAATCTAGCACAGTCACATGTTTTCTTTTTAAAAATCTTTCTCTCTGTTTCTTGCTGTTTTGATCTTTTTGTTGTTGTTGTTTTCCTGCAGCAGCAATGTTCCTTCTAGGAAAAGCCATCATCTGAATAAAGTTTGCTACCGTTGCTGCTGTTACTGCAGAAAAGTAATCATAAAAGCAAAAGAAGGAAGAAATTTTTAAAAGAAAATTTGCCCCCCAAATAAAAACGTCTTCTGTCCTAAAAAGCTTACTCAGACACAAATGTTTTTTTTTCTTTCTTTATTCTATTTCCTACTATTTGCATCCCTTTTTAACTCAGAGAACTGCACTGAAAAATTTACCTTGAGAATATTTAGTACAACCTTTGCCAGAGATACATTCTTCTTCATTTCTGTGTTAAACAGTATTTATACCACTTAGTTTTAAATTTCCTGCATGCCATTTTGATGACACTGGCAGGATGTAGAATGCAGCCAAATTAATACACCAAAATATACTGTGTACTGATTCAGGTATACCATCTGGGAGCCAGAGTGACTTAAGCAATCATGCTGAATACTTCCTATACCACAACTAATGGTCCACAAACATTTAATGATTTATAGTTAAATGTAGAGAGTATCTAAAGTGAACTTTACCAACACATGAAAAGTAAACCTGTCATTAACCAAATAGGATTTTTGAATAGTAGATGTAAAAAGTGTGGTCTAGGCTAGGGCTTTCACAGAGCCCCTGATATCCCTTCTGTGGCCTTCGGAGCCTCTCTAATGTGGAATAATGAACAATCACTAGAATAATGATGTGTCTGCATAATTACTGGAATAGTGCTGTGTTAGTAGTATGTAACTAACCTAATGCGCATTGCACTTGGATACAATGTACGTAGCAAACTCTCCATTGTATACCTGTGAGAAACGAACCTAATGTATTACAATGTGTATTCCTTTGTTCCTGAGGAAAGGAAAGTATAAAATTGAAGTCTGAATCCGCCCTCGGGGTTCAGAATTGCTTGTTGCTATTGCTTCTGAACCTGCGCAATAAATCTCTCAGCTAAAACCCTCTGGAATTCGTAAGAGTCCTTTCATTTTCCACAAGATCTCCAACCAGATGGAACAAAAACATTGTATTCTGAGAGTTGGAAGGAGACTTTAAGGGGAAAAAGATTCCTAATCCTGCAGATATTTAAAACACACATTTTATCCTTAAAGTGCCTAACCTGTTTTCCAAGTGGGCCCTGATCCCATTTACTCTGGGAGAGCAGTCTTCAACATGTCATTATTTGGTCTTTTAGTGGAAAGAATTGCCCACTTTTTTTGTACAGTTTTTGAACATCCGAGTCATAGAGATATTTTCAATAGATACCACTTTTTACTAGCAAAGGTTTTTGTCTTAGACAAGCTCAGTTCTGTGTCTGTGTCTTCCAAGTCAAATGATAGGCAAGAATGGATTCAAATCAACACCACAGTGGTGGTGATAACTATCCACCCCCCCATCAGTATCTTGATTACTTTGGACACTTTCAACTCTTGACTTTTAGAAAACCATTCATTAATTTAAGAAGATAAGAGTAGGATGCTGCTGACCCAAATCATTGCCATGCCTCAGATAGCATTTTGGCAAACAATGGCAAACGAATGCTAATGTAAAACTCACTGAGCAGGACATAAGGAAGTTCTTTTCCTATAGATAACCATGAAATTTTTCTTTCTTTCTTTCTTTCTTTCTTTCTTTCCCTTCTTTTTTTTCTAGATACACTTTTAATTTGAGTTTTGTTTAAAGAAGGATTTAATCATGTGAACCCAGCCTAAAAAAATTCCTGTGTACCCTAGATAATCAGTTTGTTTTCTTAGTAAGAACTGTGCCAAAATCCTAGACTGCATACCAAATGCTCTTTTGGGGATTGGCTTTTTACAGCTGACTACTAAATAGTTAAGAGGGGGAGTTTAATGTTCTATATTTAAATTATACATTTGAATTATATTATTCTATTCTTTAGTAACTTCTTTGAGCAGATACAGGGTGAGGAAGGAAGGAAGAGAACGGGGAAACTGACTATTATGTTTTCCCTATTTCATCTCATACGTTGCTTTAATATTATTTTTTTAATGGTGCCTGAGGACCTTGTTATTCTTGCTGTGACACCCTGTGACTTGCCTATGGAACTAGAAGCTTCACCTGGGAATGCTAGCTATATGCCATGGCACATGTTTATTCCTAGACCTGTGTGATGGTTATCAAGTGGTCAGAGAGCTGTGATTCTGAATCACTCTTCTGCACCAGAATGAGTCTGGCATGAGATATATGTGAAATATGTCTGATTATATGATGAGTCAAATAAGATTAAGATATGTGTCCTGAGAAACAACACTGCCCTTAAATAAGATACAGTTATCAGGAGAGCAAAGATAAGCATCCCTAAATGGAAAAGCAGGGGATAAGTCAGCCATTCTTTTATCTGCTCCCTTATACTTTGAATATTTCATGTTTTGGTAGTCATGAAACATACAGTCATTTAACTTTTTTGTATATCAGTACAACCCTATAGCAGTGAAACTAATCTCCTTGATGATTACTAAAGGGATGTAAAAGAAATCTGCCAAAAAATATTAAGGGAACAGATCTGCCAAAATGGACTCTTCTCTGGTATAAATAGCAGCCCTGAATATGGTCTGCCAAGATCCATTAAAATCACTGGGAAAACATTCATAACGTTTCTATTCAGTGGCATTCAGTATTGCCACCTGGGTGGATGGGAAGAGTATAGGTAATGTAGTTCTTATGATCTCATATGTCCCCCTACATATGTATTATCCCACCTTCCCCTTTCACCCCTATTTATCCCTTCTTGGCTCTTTTCTTTTTCTTCCTGGTACCCATTTCCATTATTGTGCATGCTCACATGTACCCACAATACATTCCAACTCTCCCCCACATTCTCCTTGTAATCTTTCCCTCTGTATCTTCCAACAGCCTCTCCACAGTTGCCTATTGACTTCACCCCTTGTGCTGATACTATGGTCATCTCTCCTTCTTGTTACTCAGGCTTTCCCACAGCCTCTCCCTTTTATTGGTCTTGCATCCCCTTTTGCTCTAAAGCTCCATAAGTAACAGGATAGAAAACAAACATCAACATAAATATTTCAATATTTTTGTAAAATTCAAATTTATAGTAATCCTTGCAGTCCTAATTACTGTTTTCTTGGACTAGGAATCAGGAACTCCCTCTTCATTTGTTTTTTTTTTTTTAGTTCTGATTATGGCATACCACTGTCACTGCAACTTCATGGAATGTCCATAATTAATATTTGCTTGATTTGACTATTGTACACATTTGTCAAGTGGAATGTCTCATCATCAACAAAATTCCATTGGAGCTTTAGAAACCATTAGACCCATTATGGCCAAATAGAACATTGCAACGTTTTGTTCAACTCATCCTAATGGCCTATCACTTATAAAGGGAAACTATTTTGGATAGTATCTCCATAATAAGAGTAGTAAATGTTCTGCAGCTTTAAGAAAATAGTTGAAGACATTGTATAATACTGTGCTCTCAGTTAAGAGAAACAGTGGAACAGCTTACCCCCAGAAATCGTGGGTGCTCCATCACTGGAGATTTTCAAGAACAGACTGGACATTCACTTGTCTGGGATGGTATAGGTTCTCCTGCTTGAGCAGGGGTTGGACTAGAAGACCTCCAAGGTCCCTTCCAGCTCTATTCTATTCTATTCTATTCTATTCTATTCTATTCTATTCTATTCTATTCTATTTATTTGCTTTTATATCTCAAATACCTCATTCCTGAGGTAGCTAAGGATTTATTATAAACTTTTCAAAAAACACAATTTAAAACATCAGTAAAAAGAAAGGATGATCATCGTCAATTCTAATTCATTCCAAAAGTATTTCATCTTGTAGTTCTGTACCAGTGAGGCATGAAGTAGATGGAAGTCCCAAGGGAGGGAGTTGTATTTTCAGGAACCTACATCAGAAAAAAACCCTTATTTTATTTAATTATTTTTGTATAAAACATTTTAATACTGCTTCCTATCCAAAGAAACATTTGCAAATTAAGCATGGCAATTATAATTAAAAACAGCTAAAACAATAAAGATATATAAGACATTTTACAAAATGCACAATAAAAGTCAACATTATTCAACATTATTCCAACATACATTATTCAAAAAAATCAACATTAACTTGGTTAGAGAAAATAAAAACAGAAATAATTTTTAAAAATATCACAACATTAGCCCACAATAAGAAGCCCTGGCAGAATAAAATAAAATAAAAAAGACAATAAGGATTGTGCTAAGACAATGGAGAACATTCCAAAGGTGGGGAAGGGGCTAGTATTGGAAAGCCATTCGCCATATTTTAGTGAACCAGAGTACTTAGGTATGTATACAAACATACATATTAATTAACTTCTTTTCACTGCAGAGCGGAACAGATGAGTTCAAGTTCAAGTTTATTTGATAAGTGATGACCTAATCAATATAATCTATTAGAGAGAGATCAGACAATGTTTCAACCAATCTTACTGTATTCTAATCATATGACTACTGAACTACAGATTGCTATATCACTTGCAGCTGCCCCCTGACTAGCAATTTGATGAGCTCTGGGAAAAGACTGGCACTGCTGAGATCAGAAAATGAACAGTCTCTTTCCCAGTGTGATTGGGCTCTCCTGGAGCCCATCAAGCAGCTAATTGTCAACCTACTGGGAACAAAGGGCTGTGCAAGGGGTTAGAGCACTA